GGCTCCGGTTGGAGGAGAGAAAGTGGTGAGAGAAGGTGGGGACCACGTGATCTAAAAGACATATTTGAAATGAGTGATTTGCGTGTATGCCAAGTCAGCTTTTCAAATTGGACCCTAAACTCAACCAGTCACAGAGAGATTCGCTTTCTTGTGTAAATCCTTTTTTTCAATTATTAAAATATACTGTATTTTTGTTGTCATATAATTTAGATTACGCAATGCTATTGGTTCACCAAAAACGTCAATCAGTTTAAAAAAACAAAACAAAATTAGAAAAACGAATAAATTAAGGTAAAGTCGTTTTCAATAGTGGAGGCTCCAATTACTTCCAAGCGAAGGCAAATTAAATTTAATTGGCATATAGATTAGATATTTTCAGACCCCAACGTGTGTTGAAATTTGATTTGATTAGTGTAAGATATTTTTGTTCTTCACTTCTTACTACTTAATTTGATTTGTGAAATTTTAATAAATTGACCGACTTAACTAATCAAATCATATTTCATATTCTTGTTTGGTTACTGGGTTTTAAGTCTCATGGGAATTTCAGTGTACAAGTACATTCAAATGAATCATATTGAGTTTGTAAATCAGACTACTTTCTCTCTCTTTTTTTTTTGCCTCTCTTCGTTTTACTAATCAAGCGATTTAAATGTACAACAATGTAATTAAAACAAATTATATGTAGGAATCAGACAAAATAGCTTGAGTTCATTACTACAATATATAACAACAATATTGCTTACCCTTTGGGAGTAGATAGATAAATCCCCCACTGTTACCATTACTACTCTTTCGAATTACTTTTTTTTTGTTTTGGTTCCCTCCCTGTGACAATAGTCATGTACATTTTAACAATCTGCAATATTATAACGAGAGAAAAAAAAAAAAAAACAATCTGCAATAGTACCGTGGTTGTAATGGATATGATCGATAGCTCACGAGGTGTGTACCTTAAAGCTATCTTAACTACTGTCTCCCTCCTAGGCAGCAAAAAAATGCTGAGAGTATATGTGCATATAACAACTTTAGAATGGAATGTGCCGGGATTTTACAAATCCGACCGGTTGGGTGGAGGAACCGCTGATTTGATCAATGGTCTTAGCAAGTCCATTATCGTTGCAAATGATGGACGCTTCCACGGCTCACTGGCATTGGAAATATAATGCTCAAGGAGAGAAACAAACAAAAATAGATGGGTTTCATAC